CTACTCCCTTTTAATCCTTTCTGTTTTGGATAAGACGTCTGATTAACGAAAAACATCCTTTAGATATGAATGATTGTCAGAATCCGTTTTGTAGAGTTGTACAGTACAGTCAGGTTTTATGAAATAAAAAAATATTTTAAGAAAAGAGCTTACAAGACAAATTCCTCACTCGGTTTACTAGTCCTAGGAGTTGAGGCATTGCCTTAAGGCACATTTAGTGATAGATCCTTGTGTACGAAAGCTTGAAAGTGGAACACGTGAATAAGGCAATCTCCTAAACATTGTATTTGTACACTTTGTGTCAGAATGTATAGATTTCCAGTTATTCACTAATAAGTATTGTAGAAACTTGAAGTTAGTTGGTTTTTCAAGATGAAGTACAGATATTTCAAGCAAAGTGGGACTCAAAGGGGGGTTTCAAATTCCATACAGAAAACCTTAAGAAACACTTTTAATTACTACAGAATGCGTCAGAAATAATTTAGGCGAGAAACAAATAAGAATTCTTGGTAATATTTAGTTACTGGATTTAAAAGGCATGAAATTTATCATTGAACTCGCAGTCGTCTTCAAATGGTCTAAACTCTTGCAAATATTGGACTGGAGGCATTGATCATTCAGGAGTTTTAGGAACTCGTTTCACTTTATTCTTTTATACTTGTTGCCACGCCTTCGTTAACTTGACTGAACAGGACCTCATTCTTCTAACCACTGGGTTATTTATGGCAGTTAGTTCCAATTTTCGAATTCCGAAAAAACAGTTCCCAGTGGAACATAGGGCTTCAACAACACATCTCCACTTTCTTCTATTTTCTGCTGTCCTCTTCAGCTGGGTTTACGATTGCCCATAATCTCTCATCTCCTCCAACTTTCAAGATCTCCTCCATGTCATCCTTGCACCGATGACTCACTCGTCGCTTCCCACTGGGATTCCACTAGAGCCATGTCCTGCATTGCGCCAGATGCCATTCAATGGTTCCCTCAGTGTATGCTCAATCCATCTCCATTTTCGCCTAAATATTTGTTGAACGATAGGTTTTTGGTTAGTTTGTTCCCATAGTTTCTTGTTGCTAATTCTTTCCGGCCATTTGAATTTAACCTCGCCTAGTTTACTAGCTCGCTAGTTTTCTAGCCGGTCTGAAGCCTGAGATAAGAGGGAGCGTTGGCCGTGGGGCTAGCGATCTACCCCGAAAAATCGATCAAACTGCTTCAAAAACTTCAACGACAGTAAGAAGGAGTAATTTGTCTGAAATGTGTAGTGTTTGTATGCAACACATTTTGGACATTCTGATCACCCACATACTTGAGTGTGTACGACAAGTATATGTGTGACCAGAATGTTCGAATGTGCTGCGCAGACATTTCGGATAAATTGCGTCTTCTTATTGTTTTGTTGAAATTCACTGGGTTATTCTTAGTCTGGTGTCCTTTCCAACTTTATTATCGTAGAGCAAAATCAATTCAACAGTAGTATGCTTAACTAATGATTAACCTGCTATTCTGTTGGTAATTAGTATCTATAAATCCACGCTCGAAGCTTACCAGAAGCATGTAAGCTATTTATATGTAATGCATAGCTTTCGGTAAGTATGATGTAACTTCTTGGTTTCTTCAAATGTTACTCATGACACATTCAACTGAAAAAGAGTAGCCAGTGGATCACTCGTCATGTCTTTTGCTAGAATCCTAGTGAATTTCTGATAGTTTGTGTCACGCGTTCCATTCGCTTTAATAAATGGACCAACTTCTGAAATGATACGAGTATGATAAATACACTAAATAGAATTTAAGATTGGTCTCATTCCATATGGCTTTTAAATTCTCTTTTGAAAGAGAAAAGATGACAAAAGCAACCACGAGTCTTGAATAGTTTGATTCCATTCTTGCATAAAGCAAGGACGCTGTATTAGTTAATCTTTCATCTCAGTTGGAAACATCTAAAATTCAAAGAAAAATCCACATGTACATAAATGCATGTGTGATTAAACAAAACATGAGTAGAGAAGTGTACCCATTCATTTCTCATTATAAACCTTTACCGCCCTCCTCTACCGCCTTTTTTGTCATTAATAATTTGAAATACTTTAATTGCTCGTTTCACTTTATCCCCGCTTAATTTACCATGATTATAAGTAAGTAAGTAAGTGAGTAAATCACAACATGTGGTCGAAATAATCTCTACATACATCTCTTTCCTCAATCCTTCTGACTACATAATTTTAGTGTGTGTTTCTTAGTTTCTCCTTCTCAAAGTTTCTTTTGACCATTTAGAAAACAAAATGTCATCATCTTTTTAAGCTTTAATACTCTCACTGGATTAATTAATTAATTGAGTGAGTGATTTGCTTACACTCTCCTATCCTTCACTGCTTACACATATGTCATCCAATAGTAAGTAAGAATACATTTCTGAAAAACATTCATGTTGATTTTATAGTATTCATATTAGAGAGGAAAAGAGTTTTTAATTCACTGATGCATAATTTAATAAATAATTACATCATTATTATTATTTTTATTAAACGCTTGAATGAATTAATTGGACTCATCTAGTTTGATGGTGTAAAATGTTATGGGAATATTCAGAAATGATTTAAGATGAAAGGATAGTTCTTTACTTTTCTGTCAGCTTTACTGCTTATTGGTGAAATTTTGACACTTAGAGTAAGAAAAACTCGTGTCAAAGTGTCTCGTGTGGTTCTTGTGTGAACTGTATGCTTTGTAGTCTTGAAGAAATAATTTGACTGTTCTTAAAGACTTCAGCGCATATCAGTTTCTTATAGAATTGCGCATCATCTGCGAAAATCTAAAAGAATTCGTCTCTTTCAACTATGGGGGACACATATGAGGATGCCAAAGCAAGTGAAGAACGGAAAGGCAAGACAGGCGTTCATCACCCTGAAAGCAGTGTGGTGTGGAGACAAATACCCCTCAGGACAAAGGAACACGATTCAAATTTTCAAGACTAACGTTAAGTTCGTGGTTCTGAATGATTCAGAGATTTGGCGCACGTGTCACCTAAATCAATTCCAGCAGCATGGCGCAGATTTTCTTCAGCAGCAATCTTCATTCTCTCGATGCTAAAAATCAGATGGTGGACTGGAAGGAAAAAATAAGCATCATGGAACTCTGGCAGTGAGCGAACCAGTCAAGAACATACTGCTCCAGAAATATGTTAAAGGAAAGGGGGGCATCGGAAATATTTAGATGTCACGTGCCAGACTGACTATCAAGTGGAAACCTGATGGAAAGTGACGAGTTAGCTATCGGTCCGAATGTGACATGGGGCATATCATTTGAATAGAAAATGGAAGCTTTTAAGCAGTTGTGGAGACATTTTTTGAAAGCGTTAGCAGAGAACAGATTTGAATGATCTGCTGCTGAAGGTCTGTGTTCCACTAGGGACACAAAGAATGATAAAGAAGACAGGTATGTAGTCCGCTTAACTCTAATTATTTTAACAAGTACTTTCGGCATATTGGCTTCCGCTTTTTCCTGGAATGCATACGAATACTGTTTTTGGCTGCAGCCAGCACTGCGATCTATAATGCACATTATCAGTTCTAATTAGGTACCGATATCTGTTTAAAAATGCAGTAGCTTGAAGGACGATAGTATAGAATTTAAAATAATACATTCTGAATTCTATCCAGTGGGTTATATCAGCAGTTATTTCCAGCTAGTGATTCCTTAGTTGAAGGAAATAAACATTCTTTGTTCATCTAGTAACTATCATTAAAAAATAATTTACAGGAGATTTTGTACAAACTATCTTTAACGAAAATTCAATCACGATTGTCTAACTACGCCATCTTTATGGTGACAACTACTTTGTAGTGATTATTCAATCAGAAACGCATGACGCTGTATACTGTTGTTTGACTGACAAAGGTAGTTGGACACTATTCACAACAACAGGTAGTACGTGCTAGCCAGATCGAAGTGAACTACTTGGTATGCCCCTGAAGAGCTCTACCCAAAACAAGCAAACAGCCCATCTGGCTAGCAAACACTGCTGACTGATGTGAGTGGTGTTCACCTATTCATTCCAGTCAATTAATAATGTATGACATCATGCATCTGTGATTGGTTTTTTTATTGCAGTGTGTGGTGCCGAGCAGATCAAGTATTGCGGTCTGAATAATTTCGGCTTCCAAAGAGAACTGCGGCGAAATTTCACTTCGAGCTGGGTAAACTGCAAACTGCGAATCTGACTTAATTACTATTCAAACCCGTACAGATATATCAACATAAACTCTCATGAAGTTTTCTTTCATGTTTCTAAAATGAGGTGAATCAAGCGTAACAAAGGGATTCTTGATTTTTTGTAGTATATTCAAGGTTTGATTTTATTCATCTCACTGTTAGAACATATCTACCCATATACAGCACTCAATTAAAATACTTCCCCTTATTAGTCATTTTATGTTTATATAATCTGATGCTCACTAGTGACTGGTCCTATTCAGGCAGTTAACCTGGGGTTCTGTTGGGAACCTGTGACCAGTAGGGTGCAGCAGGTTGAAGGTGAGGCAGTAACTCATCGAAGAAGACATTACGAAGTGGTCGTGCTATGTCATGAATTGGCAGAAGTTAGAATTCATGGGCCACTGGATTCATTGGATCGGGTCCCAGTGGCTGAATGGTCTACGAGTTCACCTTGTGACCAGAAGGTGCTGGGTTCGAACCCTGGCGGTGGGTGCGTACTGCTGAAGAGTCCCAAACTAAGACGGAACAGTTAGCTGTCCAGTACTGCCTTCAGGTTTTCCAATGTTTCTCTTACTGATGTCAGTACATGATGAAATCCTCCAACCAATCAAACAAAATCCCTACAAAACCAACGCTTGAATATTATGTGATTCCTTAGTTCCTTGGCTTTTTGAGGAGACTCCTATATTTATATCCATGCTTTGCCACTGAATTGACTTTCTGTAAATATTTACAGTACTTTTAGTCATTGCATATTAGAAAGAAAATCAAAATGAAATGAAATCACACATATATATTTGACACAATTGCTGAAAATACGTATTATTTACAAACAAGCAATAGAGATTAAATGCATTATTACTATAAAGGAAAGTATTTGAAATCAGTGTTTGTTTTTTATACTCGCCGTTTTGTGTTGAGAAAATTTTTATTCTCCCCATTAATTGATAGGCACCACACTGTAAACCGAACAACTACTGAGAAAAAAAGAACGACACGAAAACTGAAAGTATAAGAATATAAGATGTAGTTTTCAATACCATTAGAAAGGGGATCAGGAATGTAGAAGGCGCTGATATCAGCAAGACTGATATAATGTTTGTCATAATTCTCACGGTTACTATTTACTAGATACACATTTTCTGAAACAAAATGTGCTTAAAATAAGTGAAAACAGGATCGTCAGTTCCTTGAAAGTATGTGAAACTGTGTAGCTGTGATCCGATATTTTTAATAGTGTGTAAGTATCTCTATTTAGGGTTAAATATCTAAGGAGGATTCATCTGAATTATTACTATTTTCATCTGTTGAATTGACAAGGTAATTAGAAGGCGAAACATTACATTGATTCTCCCCTACCTTTTCTTCTTCTTTCAAACTATTTACAGGCTTCGAGTCTTGTACGTCTTCACTTGCTGTCGTTGTTGTTGTTGTCGATATTGCGGCTTCATCAGTTTGGGAATATGACACTGGATCGACTGTTTGTTCAGTTGTTGGTGTTGTTGTTGTTTTTGTAAATAAAATCCGATCAGTACTCATTGGTACTGTCTCATTGTCACCTCCGCTTTTCTCGTCATTATGCTTGTTTGTATTAGTGAATGGCTGACTGATAATACTATTTATATTATTACTGAGATCACTCAACATCTTATTATCAGTTTCATGGTTAGTATGAGGTAAATGCTGAAGAAAATCTTTTGGTAAAAATGGTTGAGTATGATGGTGTCGCTGTTGTTGCTGCTGCTGTTGTATTTGGGTTGAATACCATTCAAACATTTTTTGCCAGAGATAAAGTGATGGTGAAGACGATGCAGAAAATGGTGCTGTTGACGATAGTGGACTATTTATCAGTGTACTGTCACTGTTGTAACTACTACTGATAGTATGGTTATTTTTAAATTGGGATAAATTCTCCGGGAGTAGATTTTCTCCAGTCATTTGCTTACTGAAATGATTAGCAACCTCTGGATCAGAGTAGTGTTGTTTAAAATTTATCGGTTTATTTGGTGATGTGGATGGCGGTATAAATGCTGGTGGAACGAAGAGAGGTGAATTTATGTTAGTATCATTTTTCACTGGTCTTAATAACGAAGGTAATTCAGACGGTTTAATATAATTAGATATGAATTGTGGTAGGGGGGGAAATATCGGAGGGAATAAATTTTCAGAAGTACACATATTACGAGGCATTTTATCATGTTCCGTTAGATTAGACTGTCTAATTAAATCGTTGGATAGTTGAGGATCATTATTTGGTTTTGTAGAAATAACTTTGAAAGGGTTTAAATTGGAATATTTTAAACCAGCACTCATAGATATATTATTATTATTATCAAAGTTAGTGGACACAGGATACTCGTGTCGATTCATGATATTATTAGAGTTCAGAAATTGAGAAGCTGGTACATTTGTAGCATAATTAATAGCGTCTGAAGGTTTCATTTCATTATTCCAAGCATTAGATGGAAAATCGGATCTCTGTAATGTAGCGGTGGACATTTTCTGCTGTACATTTTGTCCTAAATTCAATATATCAAATGGAAAATTGAACGGTTTATTTTTTGGCGGGGAATTCAAATTTAATTCATCGGCTTTATCAGTGGACAGCATAGCTGATTGAATATTATATAAATTTTGTGCAAAATTCAATGGTTGATTTAGTGTATTTTGCTTCAGTCCAGTTACTCCAGGATAGAAACACTGTCGTTTAGGATTCGTATAATTTTCGTGTAATCTTGAATGGAAATGAGTTTGATTATCATATTCATTGTTTGCTTCACGTTTCTGTTCTTTTCTCATATTTAAAAAACTGTCATTATCTGATCCTTGTGACCAGATATCACTTTCAGCTTCATGAGATGGTGAATTGTGCTGAAGTTTATTGCATTTAATACCACTATCATATTCATCTTTATCATAATGATCAGATTTATCTTTTGTTAATTTCTCCTCAGTCATTGGCATACAGAAACGATTAACATTGAAATTCGATTGAAATCTTGAAGAATCTGAACGTGAAGTATGCCTTCTTCTGTCTTCAGTATCTTTTCGATCAGTATCATCTGAACTTATTTCATTATCAGGTTCTACATCACTGTCAGAGTTCTCGAGTTGTCTGTAGATAAAAAAAGAGAATAAAAACAAAAGAGAAGATAATTATTTTGTAACTGTGAACAAGTGTTTTATTCCATGAAATAAACTTAGACTTCAAGGGAATTATTCTTGTCATGATAGACCTAGTGCTCATGGTATTAGCAGTGTGAGTAATAGTAGTAGTAAAACTAATTAAGTCTGATTATTAGATAATAGTTCTTGTCGTTGTAACTTTTATTTAGCATACAGTTTGGAACCCTACGTTTTATTTATAATTGTTCTATTCCGATCCGCCAAAATATGGGCATGGTTGTGATCAGTTGTTAATTCTGAACTTATGTTTAGCATTTCTGGGGACTTATCACTGAGAAAAGGAGTGGTGGAAGCAGTATAAAGCAGTATGAGTGAAAAAGCCAAACCTTTAACACTTTTATTCCCACCAGAAAAATAATTTTCGTTCCCGCAGTATTTTTCAAGTACAGCGTACTATTGTTGTTTGCTCAATGATGAGAAATAATTCTAAATTAAAAGAATTTTGATTTCTTCCTACATAAATCCTAACGATTTAATACCATCTTATGGAACTCTAAAATGTAGAAGGCTATATAGCCAGACAGGAATGAAACGAAGCGACGTATTCACTGACACAGGAAATTGTATGTTGCAAAATAATCAGTCACTTGTAGTAATATTTTCGCAAATTAATAAAATATCATTATTATTTTATTATAGCTTGACGCCACACAGTTTGTTTTGGTATAAGTATGGAATTTTCAGCATGTGATATCGGTAGCCGAAATTTAGCAGGCCGATCATTGATATCAAATGTGCGTCGGCTGGGGATCGAACTCCGGACCATGTGCATGGTCGGCGAGCGTCCTAACCACTATGCCATCGACGCATTTGATGGAGAAAAGTTAGTAAGGAAATCAATGATATCTCTCAGTATATCACTGAAAAGGTTATAGATGGTGGAATGACAGGTGACTTAAACAATAAACTTCTCATACTATGGAGATGAAGACGACAAAATGGATAAGTAATAAATCTTTCGTGGTGAAAAATGTCTATAATGGACTGAATTGTAGTTCAGGAGGACTTATCTTGTGCACTAAATATAATAAAAAAGTATACTGCATCTATGTACATCATAGAGTTCTTCCTTGAAAGTATAAGAAATAAATGTTCGACTAAATTATAATCGCAACTATATTATCCACTTGTAAATGGAATAAAGCTGTAGGAAATCAACATCTCCTAAGCATAACAAAAGAATAGATTGAAGTATCAGGTAATTTGTAAAGGAAATTTGTGATACTTCCAGTTGACAAAGACAGAAGTAAATAAAACAGACTACTTCAAGAACTACCGAGAGAATAAAGCCTTTACCAGCCACTAGGTGAAATTTCAGTCAAACGATAAGGCAAATAGATGAAGGGAAATAAAGTAATCTAAATAAGAGGCTGATAAACCAACAGGATAGACATCAACCAGAACAAGCTAAGCTTCTGCCGTCTACCAACAACAGCCAGCTTGGTCATTACATTAAAATCATTAACTTCATTATCTGAAGCCTTTTATTTCAATAACTACTTTTAAAAAATGTAGCCATGTTGTCAGCAGATATGTACATGCCAAGTTTATGGACCAGGCAACAAATGTGAAAATGGAAAATGGTTTTTTTCCCGATGTCCTTCTCTTGATGCACCTCTGTGTTTTATTATACTCTTATTAAATTCTATCCAAGAAATAATAAGCACTTTTTCATGAAATGAAATTTTGGGATAAGAGTAAGTTCCTCACAAAGTTTTAAACGTCAGAATTAGTTGAAGAATACTGCAATGAAGAATTAATATTAAGATGTTAGTAAATTAGGAAAATCTGATACAATAGTCAAGCTTGTGAATCTACTTGAAAATACCATTCACAGTACAACTACTGAGCCTCACGCACAATACAGGCTTAGCTGAATATTTATTATTAATGTATTTGGGATTATTTTCTGTGACTTTGATATTTTTTGATATGGGCATTCTTTTTTGTGTGATGATAAGGGTTCGTAATATGATAACATTACTGATCTGGACAAATGATAAATAGCCTCAAGCAGAGCAGCGAAGATGTTATGATTTACCTACAGTAACGCACTGGAGAAAAAAAATTGTTTTTATAATTGAACACTATCACAATGAGACCTAGTAGGGAGCCACTATAATAATTACTTTCATGGGGAAAAAGATATGTGGGATAATTTTATCTATAACTAGATGACGCCTAAGGATTTATAGGATAAAAAAAAGTAAACTATTTAAACGCCATAAAGTTTACATGAACTGCATCTGTCCATGCTCATTGTGTTATAATTGATTAACCTGGTGAATTATAACCTGTTTTCTTATCTCTGATATACCAAATCTGATTAGGAAGTAGAAATCAAAATTCAGTATATATACACTGTTAAGATTAAGACAGAGTTATATTCAGTGGGATCCTTATATTCCTTGTCAGTTTATATTTATCAGGGTTAGTAACAGTTTGCTGTACTTTTAACAAACTGCTTTCGACTACATAATGTTACTAGTGCCTAGTATGAATAAGCAAACAGATCTATAAATCTTGAAATAGGAACAAAAGTGTATACGATTTAGTTGTGAACCCCTTATTGTCAGCTCAGATTACAAATAGAACTGAGCTATCAAAATTCCTTCCCGAAGGTTGATAAGTTCGGCTGGGTGTGTGATATAAAAGGCAATGTTTGCAAGTTAATAGTATAACACAGTTAAATGAAATACTCAGTTATATCTCTGATTACCAAGAAAAGTCGCTATACTTGTAACGGATTTCCTTCTTTTCAAGTTTTGAGGTGACAACATTTCAAAAATAAATGGAAGCCTGACGATTGAATCACTCAACTCAAAAACTCTGCTGACGCCACTATAGGAAGCAATCGAATATACTGTGGTATATGTAGTCCTTTTTCTACCCTTCAAATGGTACAGGCTTTTCTCATTTAGCATATTTCTTAAAATGTCTGGATATAAGACTGTATAAGTTGTCACCAGAGAAGAAATGAACACCAATGGAATACATAACTAGATACACGTAATCGGTGGTCTTACGTAATATGTCGGTTTATTTAAAACAAGTAACAACTGTGAAGAAAAAAGAAAGCGGTATTTCGTGAATTCATAAATTTTGATTGAGCTTGTTAGCTGGAATACTTTAAAGACACTTCTATTTATACAACTGTTTAGAGTTAAATACATTCAAACACACAAGTATTGTGACAACAAATAAGTATCTCCAAGTATTGGTTTTTGTAGGCATTTTGTTTGATTGGTTAGAGGATTTCATCATGAGCTGGTTCACTAACTGATGTCAGCTCATGATGAAATCCTCCAACCAATCGAATAAGTATCTATTTCAATGTTGTTTCCATTATTTTATCAGACTTACTATTATTTTTCTTAGGATTTGTGCAAATCGAAAATCACAGTTGAGTGTTAATCTTAGTGAGGAGTGTTCAGACAATGAGTCTTATGAGTTTAAATCAGACATGTTAAAATCTTGTTATTTTGTCCTATATGATTTACCTATGTTAAATTTATTTAGCTGTTTTTTTTTAAGAAGTTTCTCTGCATTTTCACTATTATCAAACCTAGATGCTTATAACTGTATTAATTCCACCACAATAACTACAGTTTATGTGTGCTTTGAATATTGTTCATTTACAATTTGAAGTTAACAGATTATCACTCACAACTAATAGATAGTATGTCTGTTGAAATCGATACTTGTTTGTTGTCACAATCTTCATGTTTTTCGAGTTTGCCCACGGATTGATATCAGTTAGAGAACCATTGAAAACCAGGGAATACTAGACAGCTGTTTCATCCTAGTTTGGGACTTCTCGGCAGTACGCATCCACAGGGATCCGAACCCAGGACTTCCTAGTTACAAGACAAGTTTGTAGACCATTCCGTCACTGGGACTCGATTCGAAGGCCTATGAATTCTAACTTCTACTAATTCGTGACATTGGTTGGTGGTCGCGCTAAAACCAAGAATTGGTAGAAGTTAGAATTCATGTGCTGGCAATTGAATAGGGTCCCAGTGACTGAATGATCTACGAACTTGTCTTGTAACTGGGAAGTCCTGGGTTCGAATCCGAGTGGGTGCGTACTGCCCAGAAGTCCCAAACTAGGAGGAAACAGCTTTCTAGTACTCCCTAGTTTTCAATGGTTCTCTAACTGATATCAAATCAAATCCTTACAAATCAACTCTCGAAAACAATCTTCATGTGTTTCTATGTAATTAACCTTAAGAATTTGTATAAATAACAGTGTTGTAGAGGGGTATTCAGCTGACAAATCCTACCGAAATTTATGAATTCATTGAATACAGTTGTTGCTTTACTACAGGAAAGAAATTTGTTCAATTTAGGTTTATATTCTTATCTCCCACAGATTCAGTTTTAACTCCTGAAGCGGTGTTGAACTTTATTAACTGATAACTTTACACAGGTAAGTATTGAGTTATTTAGATTTGACAAGTCAAACACTATCACCAAGAAAGAAATCAGTATCCAAGATTATTGTATACTATAGCTAAAATCTATAAAGGATCACGTTAATCTTTGTCATGCAATCACTTTTAATTTTGATTTCACACTAATTCTTTCGCCTTACAAACCATGTCAGTTAATGTCACTTTAATCCATCTTCCGAAAGTAACCGACAGGAGGGGGGAGCGCGGCATGACGGGAATGAAATAAACCAAATGGCACAGGATATTTCCTGTTTTATTATCCTAGCCTGAGGAGAGATCTTCCCAACAAAATATCAATCACTATCCAATTAAGCTTGGAGTTAAATGGTCAGTTAACCCTTTTTTTTAAAACAATGCAATAATTAATTAGTCATAACTTGAAAAATAAGTTTTACAACAAAAAAAAAGAGACTGAGCATCATTCCTTCAGGGCATTTAACTTTGATAAGTGTTCATTTTATGCTCTTTACAATGAACCCTGTTCCCATTGATATTAGATAATATTAAATTAGTTACTTTTCAAAAGTTCAATATACTTTTAGTATCAGTTTTCGTCTTGCGTTGATGGTGATGAAGAGAATTTCATTGAAACCCCGAATCAAAGCTCAAAAAATACTTCTTTAATATATATTTGGATTGTGAATATTATCATTTGGCTTCATATATTCTAGATGGTTGTTGAAACCGTCTATTTCAACTGAAAGAGACTTTCATACACGAAAATTAATCTGAAGTATGGTCACATTCTTCCGCACTAAAAACAAATATTCCTTATGAAAGCGACCGTGTAAATGAGAACATTTGGAGCTTACAATCAGACTGGTGGACATGCAGGTCTACCTAGGAGAGTTGGTAAACCCTGATTCCAAACCTATAGTGTACATGGGCTCCATAATGGCGTATGAACCTGTTCTGGTCACCGGAAACCATGGGAACGTGGCTCCTGACTCTGCTCCATTGTCTTGTGGATCAGACTTCAAGTTTAAGGCTCGGGGGTGAAGTGTGGTCTCCTAGGACAACCATCTGCTTCGGTCTTAGCTTCCAAGTAATAAAAATTCCTGTCGAAGTATGGGTGCTAATTCTGTGTAGAAATTTTTAATAATCATTGTGATTTATCCTTGATATTGACTTCTGATTAATATTGTGAATGACGGATGATTATAAGTGAAATTAATTACTGAGACTCACTGGAAGAACTACGTCATGAATAATTGATGGTTAGCGCAAATTACCTCCAACAAGTGGAGAAGAATAACTATTTTGTCATTCAAACACTCTTCACAAAGTTCAGTAATCCGTCTACTATGAGTTATAATTTACTTACTGACCAAGTTGACTAATTTACAGATGAGTGATTTTCAAATCACCGTCATCTCACACAGATATCATGGACAGTAAATTAAACATGCTTCAATGTAACACATTTTTGCTTTAAGTATTGGTTTGTAGGGATTTGATTGACTGGTTACAGGATTTCATCATGAGATGACATCGGAGCTCGAACCCAGGATCTTCTTGCTTTAGTAATACACATTGCTAAATGCATGTATATCTGAATTCTTCAGTACTTGAAGGTGGGTGATTTTGCTCGGTGGGAGACAAAAATTGGTCAGAAATTTAAGCTTATTGAATGCTTACTTGATGAACACATCAACTTGATACTTTAAGCGTCTACTTAGGGAATCAGTCTATTCACCTGAGATCAATCTAAACAGTAGCTATGAGTAATTTTTACGTACAAGTTTTATAAAGTAGTGAAACTCGTTTTTTACCTCGTACTTTAAGTTTTACTTTTGAAACTCTCATCTGTGCTAATAGTATGCTGATTTTCAGTAATATTAAAGAAACATAACGCATTTCTAGTTGAAGTTGTACCCTATCTCTTCAACCCAGAGTTGCTAATATTCGTCTAAGCTTTACTGATCTAGTCACTTTAAAAACAAAACTAAAATTTTTTATTGAAATTACCAAATTGCAAAGAGGAAAAATAAGAATAACAGTCTTAACTCTTGGAACAAGTTTAGCATGTCAAATAGTAGATAGTGGGTATATTCGGAATTGTCATTGAAGCTGTTATTAAGACGCCAGTCATTTTACTACATTCCAGCATTCAATATGTGAGTTTTAGCAGATAGGTAATATATGTTAGGTTTTCATATCAATTACTTAAAAAAGAAAAACCGAAACATCTAAAGTAATTCTGGACTTTTAGTGTTGCAGTCTTCACTAAGCTGAACTGTTTGCTCTCGAAGCTCTCGTTGTCTTACCAGACAGCATCTTCAGTACTAATTTAGAAACAACTCCAAAAGCAACTACCTGAACTAAAATTCTTTTTCATTATTTCAAGATATAATAGCCATTTTAGAGTTATTCGTAAAAACAATTCAGATTGCAGAGAAAAAAAGCCTGTTTTATCACAATTAATGTACAACTGAAGATATTTACAAGTTTTTTACACATAAATTAAATAAGGGATTTGCACTTAATAATGTGAATTATCATTTCCTGAGAAAAAGAAATGGTGCATTGGTGGTCCAGTGGTAGAATACCCGTCAACCACTTATGTGGTTCGAGGTTCGATCCCCCGCCAGGGAATTCCTAATCCTCTCTCAAGTCAGTAGTAAACAGGAAAAAGAGAGAATGTTAGGCGTAAGACTAGCAAAGTTCACCTCGTAAAGAAAGACTCCACTGCTACTGGAACTTCACAGCTGAAGCTTGAAGCCCCTCTATGTTACACTCAGAACACAAAGGAATGGAAACACATGACAAAGAAAGCGGAAAAGAACTACTCACTATCTGTAAACAAGAAGCCACTTTATATAAGACTACAATTCAAGGGCGATATACCAAGTGAGATAATTACGAGGAAATTAAGAAAATCAGTTCAAAGAACTTTTAATGCTGGCGAACTACACATATTATTCTCTACACGACCGATGGTGCTACCTCGACTGAAAGATGAAGTACCTAGACTAGCCACTTCAAATTGTATCTACCAATTCAACTGCGCTTGTGGAGCGAGTTATATTGGCCGTTGCTTTAGGAACTTGATTTTTTGTGCTCGAGAACATCTCCCACTATGGCTAAGTAAAGGTGTAGTGACCATCTGGTGCAAACCGGCCACAAAGCCAGCGTGGAAGAATCCTTCTCTATCATCTACTGGGTGCCTAATAAATTGCCGAAATCATCGAAGCACCGCATGCTCCAAACAGTAGAGGCTATTGCAATTCGCCTCAAACAATCAGTGCTTTGTGTGCAAAAGAAACAAGTCCAGCCCCTACTACTGTCTTGGCCTTCAGTAGAAACTATAAATTCATGAATTTGTAATATTATCTTTCCTAATTTTTCTGACATTCAGCTTATTTTATGTTGATGCTATTGAGCTGTAATCTATTGATATTATTGATTCGATGTTATTTAAACATTAATGTTGTTCATAACACTAGTTCATTCATTCATTCACTATAATGTATATATACCTGTAGAGCCTGATGATGAAGTTATCGAAAAGAGTACTCTTTGTTCAGTATCCATTCTTTTGAAAAATTTTTAATGGGCATTTTTAATGAGTTAGAATGGAAAAAAGTAAAAACGTTTGAGTTGAAAAGATGGATACATCTACAGTCGATTAACAATAGTACTTTAGATTACCCACCTGATGTTTTGTTAAATGAAACTCAGGATATGATTACCAAGTATGCTATTACTTAGATTTCCTTTCAAAACCATTCAGTACCTTTTTTTAACAAGTATGCAAGTATCATAGGTCAGTAATAACGGAGTAATCGTAATCATCTTGTGCTTATTTTCATAATGATAACTAGGCGTACATCTTTCATAGAATAATGAAGTGAAATAATCTGAAGAAGTTAGACAGATGATAAGTGATATCACAATGTATATAGACAGAATAACTAAGCGGCCTACATTTAAACCGTTAGCTTCAAATATCAGTATTTGACAAAACCACTTGAATCTGTTCTTAATAACAAATTTATTTGTCCCATAAATGAAACCTGGATCAAGATCATATGTAGGTGTTTAGGTTTAGATGGTCAAATATTACGCTTTAGGGGACTCAAAGACTAACTTGGCCCTAGTTTCACAAGGTGCCTTATATGAGCATGGTGTACATGGTGATCGTACAATTATCTGAGCTTTATGACATTCGTCTTATTTGACGAATTAATTTCAGTGGTTCAGAGGCTTATGTTTTAAGTCCTGCAAGAATCCTTCAGCTTCACAAACTTTTTTAATTTTTGTTTTATTCCTTTACCTTCCTAATGGAACATAGAGCCTCAAGCTAGAGGCCTGAAATTTCTGTAGCAGTGGTGCTTATTTTAACGGGATGGGGTTGCTGGCCCCATGCTCAACCTTCCCTCTTTATCAGCCTAATTACTGGCTTGGCTAGGTAAACGAGTGCGTTGGCTGGGGATCGGACTCCGTACCACATGCGTGGTTGGCGAGCATTCTACCGCTGTGCCACCGACGCACAGCTTCGCAAATTAATATTATGCAAATAAATAATGACAGATAAATGAAATAATTACAAAGGTAACTTACTGATTTTTAGCCGCTGCTGCACGATCACGTTGTCGTCGATTTTTAAACCAGTTACCAACTTGTGTTGCAGTTAGCCCAGTTGCATTAGCTAGTTCACGTTTTTTAGCTGGACTCGGATAAGGATCTTGAAGGTACCATTCACGTAGAAGACCTCTTGTACGCTCTTTGAAACAATGCGTCTTTTGTTCACCATCCCAAATTGTTCTAGGCATAGGAAACTTCTTTCTTACCCTGTACTTATCAACTGGTCCAAGTGGTCGACCACGAAGATTTTCTGCTTCTTGATAATGTGCTTCAAGCCATAAAGCTTGTAGTTTAACATGTGAAGATTTTGGAAAGCTGTGTCTTTCTAAGATGGCGTATAATTCTCTAAAATTTCTTGTATGAAATGCTGCAAGCGCTCTAGCTCTTAGAATTACTTCACTCTTATTCAACACTTCCCATAGACTTGGATTCAATGGTAATGACCATAAAAATCGGCTAAGATGTTCAATATCACCGGCTTCTTCAAATGTTTGACAAACTCGGACTATTTCTTGTGGAGAAAATGGTAAAGAAGCAGTTTGAATATCTTGTCCATCTACACTCTCTGTAGAAGATGATTTAGGCGTCAATTCTTGTTTATTACACTTTACATGTTTATTTGGTGTACTTGTAGCATAAGTGGATTGGTGAGTTGAACCAACTATACTGTTCACTTTGTTTGGCGAGGTATTTATAGCATCATGAATATTTGACAGCTGTGGTTGGGTTGTTGGAACTGAGTTAGATGGTGATAACAATGGTTTAGCCTCTTTTTGTTTAGAAATATTATTATATTCATCATTATTTGGCATATTTTGTACTGGTAGTTTATCTGGTATACCGAATATTGAAGGTTTCGGTAATGCTTGATATCTATCGAAATCTGTTCCCATCTGCATACTAGCTTTAGCCATCATTAATGTAGAGAATAACTTCTGAGGATTTAACATCCAGTCAGATGGTAGACTGTTATTCAACAAATTTGATTTAATATTATTATTATTGTTATCATTATTATTATTATTATTGCGTAAATTCATATAAGGATTTGTAGAATGCGATTTCAATTCATCTCCGCTATCCGAATCATTTTTAAACTCATTCAAGTTAGAATTTGTATTAAAGGGAAATGAAAAGTTTGCCGGGAGATTAGAATTTTTCATCTTGACATTGGTGGTATCATCTGTCAGCGGTTTCACAGCATTACTGTTGTCCGTTGTGATGATTGACGGAGATGTTATTGTCGCTGAAGTAGTAGTAGTAGTGTAGTAGTCATTGATAGTGTCTTTGATAGCGTAGAATCACAATTTATGCTTGATAAATCATTTTGCGCATGAAATACATTAGGATTTTGTAAATTCATCAGAGAAAATGGCAAATAACTAGAGATGAATCGTTTCAATGCTTGTTCACTTGGCGGGAGAAGTTTATCATTGAAATTTATCTCTTGAACATTCAATTTAGCAGATTCCATGAGTTCAGATGTAGCCATTTTCATAAATGGATTAGATTTCTATCCAGAAAAATTGTCAATTTATATTTAGTTTAAACAACCGATCGCTGTTATTAATATTATTATTGCTATTTTACTTAGTACATTTATATGCTATATACTACTACTACTATATCATTACAACACAATGACAACACGACAAAAATTTAGCATGAAATTCAAATATAAACGAGGCGTCAAATCAAAAAAATGATACTCTCCTATAGAATACATATATGTTGTATGTTGTGATACATATATCAAGGGATGTTATAAATCTAATAGAAAGGATCACGCGAATTTCATCTCTGAGTAGCATGAGAAATCATCACTGAAAGGGGGAGGAAAAATGATGATGAATAGACAGACAGAAATGAATGTGATATCTCGTAGGTGTGTTTTTACGTGTGTGTGTATGTTTGGAAGGAAGGACTACAGGGGTATGACCAAAAAGTTAAATTAAAAGATAAACATTACCAGCCTTATGATACATTTAGTGTTTTTTTTATTCTTCCTCACCCCTATCATAGGATTTCTATTGGACAGTTAAGTGAGAGAGATACAGATAAATGATTTCAGGTTATGTGTATCAAAGATGGACATAGAGATGGATAGTTGTTAGAAAGACAAAGAGAGAGAGAGAAATAACAAAAGCGTAAAAGAGAAGGATAGAAGATAATTTCAGACATAGAGAAACTTGATATACACGCTAAGTGTCATCAATGGGTCACATAAATTGAAATGGACTTTTGAAGAAGAAGAAAAAGGAGGCGAAATCAGAAGAAGAAACCAAACCTCTTAACCAATTGATCCACCCTTAAAAATTCTTTTCTTCCTCTTTTTATTTTTTACTGTTTCATCTTAATTGCTGCTAAAATGGGATAAGGAATGGGAGAATGTGAAAACTGTAGATGTTAACTGTAGATGAATTAAAACAACAACTTAACTGTGTGAATCAAATTACGGTTGGTCAATAAAGAAATAAAATCTTTTCTTAAATATATTAACGAAGCAAAACAAAAAAAGTCATATAACAGTTAGGTTTTTTAAAAACACACCAACAAACTGGCATTCATATTAATCACACAACTGTTGGTTCGTTACACGCATTTTGACGAAAAACACTGTGGGTCTAAGTGTTGCACTTAGTGATATTCATGATGAGATTCGAACGCATATCAGAAATGTTATCCAGTAGTCAAGACTGACCTCCTGTAAGATTGAGTTAAACATACTGACCAGTACAGAAGGACTAATGTCATAGTGTATTCAGTGTTTACCAATTTCTACTTTGAAGTCTTGTTGTGTGGTTGAAAACTTTTTACTATACTATAGTTCTAATGTTGGTTTAATTTGGACAATAAAGTAAAATCAGAATTTACAGTTCAAACATATTCCTATAGAGTTTAATTTGTGGATGGTGACTAGCAGTGGAATCCAGAATGCGCATTGCGTCCTATTTGGGACTCGTCAGCTGGATGTACCTGCATCCTGGATTCCACTGCTAGTCACCATCCACAAATTAAATTCTAATTAAATGTCCAGACATCGTCGAAGCATCTGCATAAGAAACCGACATGTCAACCTGAGACCGAGCACTTCGGTCCAATCAATCGACAGGAAAATCTAAAATTCAACTAAATATTCCTATAGCACTCTGGTTCATGATGGCTAACAGTGGAATCCTGGACGCAGGTTTCCTCTGAATATCGACTTCTCAGCTTGACGTATCTGCATCTCAGGTAGAGTGTTGGTGTTCCTTTAGTAACTTGAATCCAACACCCATCGTTTCTGAAGTCCTCTAGGCTGCTGAACCACTGGACCCACCTTTTATGCAAGGAGTATTAGTAGTTATTTATCGAAATTGTCTTGAACTTCCCATCGATCGATTTTACTGGATGGAGATGTTAGGTGTTTGTTGTCATTTTGGCTCCGGGCAAGGATCTATCAAGGACGCTTGAGTTTAACAGTTTTAGTCAATGAGTTTGGAAGTCAAAAAGCTGCAGTTGCAAATGAAATTTTGAGTGTTAGTATATGAATGCTTCAGTTCAAACTTAAACAGTATACTAACGGTAATTATAGACCAGTAAGGTCCATCCAGTCAAGTGTGAGGATGAATGTCCAGCCGATGACATTGGTTGGTGATTGCACTAAATCACGAATTCGTAGAAGTTAGAAATCATTAACTATCGAGTCGGGCCCCAGTGGCTGAGTGCTTTGCGAGCTTGTCTTGTAACCGGAAGGTCCTGGGTGAGAACCTGGTGTGTGGATGAGTACTGCCGACGATTCCCAAACTAGGATGAAACAGCTGTCCAGTACTCCCTTGTTTTCAATAGTTCTCTAACTGATATCAATCAGTGATCAACTCGTAAAAACAAAACTAATCCTTACAAACCAACTAAAGAAAATTATAGAATTACTTTAAATGATCTAAGCGTGTTTAGAAAATTAAAACAAAATTTTTCTGAACTTTTACAGTATAAGCCTCAGCTTCTTCAAAAGAAAGTGTTAACACTCGGCGTAAAACACCGGACGGCCATTCCGCTGGTTTAGGGTGGAGCTTATCAGCGGTATACCCGGTCTAACTCAGCCCAGAGAGCTGGATCAGTTCAAACACTATTTAATGACAAGTAATCCCGGTTACTGTTGGCTTATCTATCTAGCTATGCAGTTTCGTGATACTCTGCATGATGTACTACTAATAAAAACTGATATGTGTTGAGGCTGAAAAAATTAAACCCTGTTTGAAAACTTAACTAATTACAAAACAAATGACTTGGTAACAGCGTGTATGGACACTTGGGCCATGATCTGTGTGTTGTTTAACGATCACATAGCAACTTTCTTTAATACAAATTCCCTTGAATTTTTGGGATAATTTCAGTAAGTAGTGAGAAAGTGATACTAAATCATTTGATATAGATATAATTCATATTTTTGCATCGGTTATAGTGATTTCTTTTCCAATAACTTCTATGAAATGCAATCAGAATCTTCCCCAGCATCGAATTCCCGTACTCAGAGAAGAACAAATCAAGGTGGTTTGTTGTCTAAAAAATATTTGACAAGCACATGAAAGCCTCATCTTATTCCCATCAATTTGTCAGACTTATGATGTGACTAGTATACCTAATTGCCTCATTATCAAATGATCGACTATACCTAACAGAGGCGTTTTAAGATATGAACGCCAAAGTGACATCAACATCTTACCACTGATAGTTAAGGCTGAGGTAGTGAGTATAAATTGCCAGAGTGTCGTGGATTAGGCTGAAATCCATTTCAAGATGAAGATAATTTTTGGATGTGAAGCGTAAATTTAACGCGTCACCTGAAAAATGAAAGCTGGTAGAGAAACAGAGAAATGTAGTTGAGTAATAGAGGAGAAAAGGGTTACAAACTGAAAAGACAGTTTTGAAATGAACTTGAGGTTGTGAGTGATCTTATGTTTATAGAACCCGAGACTTTAGTTTACTGTGCCGCATCTGTGGTTTAAAGACTATAATATCACGCATGACCACGTTTTAAGAGACAGACTCTGACATCTCTATCATAAGAACAGATATCAAAGTTCTGATATAGCTAGTTTTTAATGCTGGAATTTTCGCCAATACATTTCGATCTTGCCAGGGCAACATGAGAAAGTCTGTCGAACTTGGTTTTGCACACTTAAGCACTAATTACTAATTATATGTGATTAGGGATGCTGAATAACTCAGTACTTGACTCGACTTACAAAACGTTAAGTCTGCTCCATTTCAATCATATACAATCAATTTATTCATTTATCCTATCTCTTGAACGATTCCACACATCGCTGACGTAATGCAACACAACAAATAAAGATATTTTGTGTATATTCAAAGTTATTAATGAAAAATTTTTGTTCCCGTAAAGCAAAGATGTGAAGCATCACGAATAGTGATGAATTAAAACTAGTCTATGCTGTTTCTAATGATAGCGCGTTAGTCGGAAGCTTCATCCTACAGCAGCTGACTACGTATTAAGGAAATAGTGTAGATTCAGTGATTGTTAAGCAAAGCTTTTGGTGGAATTGCTAAGCTCTAAGAGAACCTCCTATAGAGTACTTGGATCAATCTTCGATATTTGGAAGCAGTTGATTGTTGAAGTTGTTCCAGTCCATTGTCGCACTTTCTTTGACTGAGACCCATGTTAGTCTCTGTGATGAAATCTTCTGAGATTGAATATAAACCTTATTGATTCACACCAAGAAGCATTGAGTATTTAAAATTCTAACCTGGCTTACTGTTTTAAGGTAGATAAAGATGAAGATATTTGAAATAGAGGTTCTTTGTGCACTTTACTCGAGTTACTGTATCGAATAGATGACAGTTTGTGATTTGGATACATTTTCTACTCGAAAATCCTCTTTGAATCTAGTAAGTTGATCATTTTTCAAGAATTTTTCAAAAATTCAGTTGGTTGACTTGAGGCAATCCAAGCATATCGTTGAACGATCGAAAAAACTCTCCGATGTTTAGATTTCTGGGATCTGTCTGCTGGGTATCACTACTACCACTACAACTACCAGCAATACAACAAAGTGGAATCTAGGCGATAGCGAAGCATTCTGATGCCGTATAATTAATTCTATTAACTAAGATATTCAAGCAAGGATCAGGAAAGCAAGAAAAGCCTTCATTACTCTCAAGTCTGTGTGGAGGTCAACAGCACTCAGCATCAAAAATAAGATCTGGATTTTCAATTCCAATGTGAAGTCAGTGCAACTATACGGATCAGAGACTTGGCGCGTCATAAAGAGCACCTCAAACAAACTAAAGACCTTCATCAACAGCTGTCTTCACTCAATACTACTCAAGATCAGATGGCCTGCCAGAAGAGATCAGCAACAGGGATCTCTGGCAATGAACGAACCAACACAGCAGGAACTGATTGTGAAACAAATATGCAGGAAGAAATAGAGATGGATTGGCTGGCCATACTCTGAGGAAACCATCAAGTGACATCATTAGACAAGCCCTTGAGTGGAAACCGAAAGGGAAGCGACTAGTTGGTCGTCTGTGCAAGGGTGACTTGAAGGAGGTCATGTGAAGA